GTGCAGACTGTGCTGCGTGGACATACGTCAGGTTCAGCACATGATCTATTGGTTCATGCACGTGCTGCTTCTTGCTCATAAAGAGGCAAAGCTTCATAAGACATGTGCCTACTACCCCATGTCTTCTGCACTCAGATGGCATAGCATGAAACTACAAAGCATGACCCATCGTTTTAATTCAAGAGTGTGAGCAGTGGCCTTTAAAAACAAACCGTTTGGAGTTTCGGTGATAGGCTTCCTGCACTTTGCGAGAGCCCAATACCGGCTGCAAGCACAATGGCCTCATGGAAAGACTGGTCAGAACAAGACCCAAAAACGGGTGCAAGCACAACGGCCTCATGGAAAGACTGGTCAGAACGAGATTGGTCAGAGCAAGACTGGTCTTCGTGGGAGGACCAGGAGGAAACGGCGGACAGCAGTCAGCAAGTTAGCGGCCAGGACTGGTCGCAGGGGGACTGGAAGCCCAAGACCGGGACCAAGAATGATTGGTCCCACAAGAAGCGCCAGCTCAACTTCTTGCACGGCAAGGACATGGATGCCCTGAAGCAGCAGCACCAACAGCAGATGACAGAGCTGCAGCAGAGGCATGATAAGGACATGGATGCCCTGAAGCAGGAGCATCAACAGCAGATGACAGAGCTGCAGCAGAGGCATGATGCTGTTCTGAGGCAGAAGCAGAAGGACCTCGACACGATCGACAAGGCTTTCCGGGACTACGCCTTCGACTATGCAAAAAGTCAGTGTCAGCTTGACATGCTGCTGGATCGTGAGACAGAGCACCAGGGGAGATCGAGGAGCTCGAGAACCAAGTGACCGAGGCCTATGAAGAGAGTAGGCAGCTAAAGGCTTCCCTGGCTACGGCAGACGCAGAAATTCAGGAGCTCAAGAAGAAGATTGCCGAGCACAACGAGCTGAACAAGCAGCACGAGGAGAACAAGCAGCTGAAGACATCCCTGGGCAAGGCAGAGTCAGACTTGAAGGGGCTCAGGGAGAAGGCTGCCGATTACGAGGAGCAGAACAACCAGCTCAAGGGCAAGATGGTGGACCTCAACAACGAAAACCATCGCAAGAGGAAGCAGGTCGCAGTGCTGATGGAGCAGGTCACAGAGGTGAATGATTTCGTTGTGGGGTATTTCAAGAAGCATCACCTCGAGAAGTTCACGAAGCCTACTCAGGACCTGGGCATGAACACATGATGAGCTATTTCGGTTTTGTTGATGTCTTTGCTTTATCAGGAACAGATTGCAGCGACCCTCGAACCCGTGCCCAAGAAGTCCAAGGACCGAATTGCTTCATATTCCAATCAACTGCCTTTTCTGTAGCCACATGGCATGGAACCCCTGCCCCTTCAGGAAGACAAAGCTTCAGCGTCCAAGTGAGGGTTTCACAGCAGCTTGCACTAAAGGCCGAGTCGAGGTTGTCTTCCGGTATGTAGGATATAATGTCCACCGGCCAATGGGTGCTATCATCCCTTGCACTAAGCACCAACCTGAAGCTACCCTGACCCAAATAAGAGTATTGGTTGAAAGACCACCCCGGCTTGCTTCTGCTCTGAGTTCGGGCTGCGCAAGAAAAAGGCTACAACTGGGAGATCAAGTGGCGCAAATATCCTTCCCAAAACCAGAACTGAGTTTTGTTACTGAACTTGGTGCTGAGGCCTTGGCTGCCCGGTCACCCGAGAGGCCAGCCGCACGCCTCGAAAGATGCTATATCGAAGATTAGGGGGAGGGCGAATCGTGCTTTTTCCAGTCAGAAGCTCCTGCAGTGAAACCCCAAACTCCCGAACTTTCAACCTCACCTGACACCTGAACTCCATGGCCGCTGAGTCAGTGGCTCTCATCACCCGGGTGTGGAGCCCTCCGTACCTGAGATGTCAGATAAGGCTTTGTGCAACTGCCAGGACATTCCTGCCCCCAGGCTTGCCACTGCCTCAGCGGCCACGGAGTTGAAAATCGCCACTAGCTCAGCGGCTCTAGTAATACTAGTACCAGTACTAGTACTAATAGTAATAGTACTAATAGTGGTTGTGGTAGTAGCAGTAGTAGTAGTAGTAGTGGTGGTAGTAGTAGTAGTAGTAGTAGTAGTAGTAGTGGTAGTAGTGGTAGTAGTGCTAGTAGGTGTAGCAGTAGTAGTTGTCGTGGTAGCAGTCGCAGTTGCAGTAGTAGTAGCAGTAGTAGCAGTAGTAGTAGTAGTAGTAGTAGTAGTAGTAGTAGTAGTAGTCGTAGTCGTAGTCGAAGCAGTAGAAGTACAAGAAGAAGCAGTAGTAGTAGTAGCAGCAGCAGCAGTAATGACAATGTTAATAATGGGAATTGTCAACTTCGAAAAAGCCACTGGGTCAGCGGCTTTACGGACCCCTACATCCCAATCTCTACCCTAAGACCCCTACCCTAACGCCACGAAGGGCGAAAACCCAAAGCTAGTAGTAGTAGCAGCAGCAGTTTTCGTTGTTTTAAGTTTGTGTAGTAGCAGTAGTAGTAGAGCAGTCGTAGTCCGAGTTGTCGCAGTGGTAAGTAGTAGAAGCAGCACTAGCAGTAGCAGCAGTAGTAGTAGTAGTAGTAGTAGTAGTAGTAGTAGTACCGGTAGTATAAGCAGTCGTTGTAGTTGTAGTGAAAGCAGTAGTAGCAGTAGTAGTAGTAGTAGTAGTGGTAGTAGTGGTAGTAGTAGTAGTAGTAGTAGTAGTAGTGGTAGTGGGAGTGGTAGTGGTGTGGTAGTGGTGTGGTGGTGGGTGGTGGTGGGTGTGGTGGTGTGGGGTGGTGGTAGGGGTAGTGGTAGGGTGTAGTATTAGTAGTAAGTAGTCGTAGTAGTAGTAGTAGTAGTAGTAGTAGTAGTAGTAGTAGTAATAGTAGGAGTAGTACTAGTAGTAGTAGTAGTAGTAGTAGTAGTAGTAGTAGTAGTAGTAGTAGTAGTAGTAGTAGTAGTAGTAGGAGTAGTAGTTGGAGCTAGTTCTCATAGTTCTAGAGTTGGAAATAGCAACTGATAGTAGTAGTGGGGTAGTAGTAATAGGATTGCCACTGATTCAGCGGCTGTGGTAGTGCTAGTAGTAGTAGGAAATAACTGCCACTGATTCAGCGGCTGTGGTAGTGCTAGTAGTAATAGGAAGGAATAACTGCCACTGATTCAGCGGCTGTGGTAGTGCTACTAGTAATAGTAGGACTGCCACTGACTCAGCGGCTGTGGTAGTGCTAATTACTGTAGTAGCAGGTAGGAATAATAGTTGTTGTTGTAGTAATTGTAGTAGTAGTAGTAGTAGTAGTAGTAGTAGTAGTAGTAGTAGTAGTAGTAGTAGTAGTAGTAGTAGTAGTAGTAGTAGTAATAACTTATATTGCCACTGTCTCAACGGCCTTTGCTAGTTGCCACTGTCTCAGAGGCTTCCGAGCACTGTTTCAGCGCCTGTTTGACCCCTGCCCTCCCTGCCTGCTGGAGGATAATCATGCTCTTCGTGTGGGCACAGATCTTGAGAACTTCAGCAGCTGTTGCAGGATGCGGCTCATACAAACATATATATATATATATAAAGATATATACTATACCTAAACTTATACCTAGACCTAGACCTATACCGAATCCTATACCTATACTTATACCTATGCCTTTCCCTATACCTATACTTTGATACCTACATACTATACCTATACCTACATGTACATGTACATATACACATACATAATATGTATATACATACACAGACAAGCACACATATAGATACATACACATATGATCGTACATACATACCTACATACATACATACATACATACGTACCAGCTGCGTTTTTGCCACGTCTCGAAACCGGTTTTCTCGATTTCATACTTCTTCTCAAAGAAGTTTTCGTTTTTTCAATAGCAGCAAACGGCATCAAAGAGCATCGGGGAGCATCATTGGGCATCTTTTTTCTGACATCTATCTGCGCTCAGCTCACAACTTCTCGGCCAGAATGGCTATGCCATGCTTGTCTGTATGAACTCTCACGGCAATAGAGTGCCCCTCGGGCACATCGCCTATGGAATGAGAGTATGTTCACATTCTCCATCCCCCGGTGTTTGGAGGGGACGGAGGGCGGTGACACAAAGGAATCTCGAGAGGAAGTGCGACGGCCGATATACGGCTGAAGCTCGACTCACGTCAATCATCTACACAAGTAGTGCTCATGACATCTATCTGCGCTCAGCTCACAACTTCTCGGCCAGAATGGCTATGCCATGCTTGTCTGTATGAACTCTCACGGCAATAGAGTGCCCCTCCAGGGCACATCGCCTATGGAATGAGAGTATGTTCACATTCTCCATCCCTTATCCGCTTGCGATCTGTGAATAAAGCGTTAGAACCAGCTCTGCGAGAAGCCGAGCAAACTCATACGGATAAGCATATGCATCTGTATGACGTTCACGCGCACGGGCAGCGATGAGGTGCTTCTTCCCCCGGCGGGAGCAGATGCCAAATTGCCCACTGCAGCATCGTTCAATGGAGCTAAGATCGATGCCCTCATAAAGAAGACCCGTGCGCATTCGATAAGGCATGCCAAACTGACAGAAATCGAGAATCCCAAACCGCGAAGTATTTCGAAACTGTGCAAAGTCCGGGTGACTCCAACAAGGGCTTGACCAGGGATTCTCAAAAGCCCAAGGAACTGAGCCCAGGCGGCAGAGCTCAATGAGCGAGGCAGAAAACTTCAGCATTTCAGCCTGGGCTCGGAGACGACGGCGAGAACCACCAGACCTGCTGTTGTTATCATGTGGGTGGAGGATTTCTTCACGAGGCTTGCATGCATGGCTGTAAATAACTCGTGGCATGGATATCCAGACAAAGAAAACCCGCCCAGATCTGATGATATTGTATAAATGACAACGAGTCTTAGCAACCAGTACATCATCATTCGGGTCGTTTTTGATGTCAATCGGAAAGCATGGGATGCCCAACTCTTTGACAGCATTCGTAAGCCGACCCGCACCAGAGAAAACCTCGATCATCATTTTTCCTTTCCAGGTTCGCCACGAGCTAGTCTCTAGGGAAGCTGAGCCGGCAGGGTTCCGTCCAGGACTTTCGGCATGCGACGCACACTCTGCTGGCAGAACTCGAGATGGGACTCTTTCAGGTCCCCTAGCAGCTTCTGAAGCTTCCCAGTCTTTGCATAGCGACGTAAGCTGGAATCGGTCTTCCAACGACCCCGCTCGCGAACCGCGATATGGTCGCGTAGCCTGGAGTTGAGATCCTCGCTTGCCCCACCGTGTCGGAGCTGATATGGATGAAGGTGCTTCAATCCAAGGGCCTCCGCAGCGCTCTGGAACTGCTTCCGAAACTCCTCGGGGGTGAACTGGAACACTGGGGAGTCCTCTGTCACCTTTTTGGCCAGGCGACACAGGTGAGGCCCTAGCCAGCTCTCCGTAGTGGGATTGTCCAGCAGGATCGTGTTGTCGAAAGTCCCCGTCTTGTCGGGCTTCCCCATGTCCTGATCCCGAATGATCACAGCAAACTTCTGATACTGCTTCCCGGAACGTGGGATTGGCCGAACAACATGCTTTGCTCTCACGTCGAAGCTCTCCCCTGGTCGGAGGTAGAGGTCGAAGTCCACAAGCACTTTGATCGCCATGTCCTTGAACCCCCTCGCAATCATCACCGTCGCGATTCCGAACGCCACTGGCTTGGGCAATGGGAGGCGACTGGTAGGCGGCCTCATCTTCCTCCACCCTTTCAGAGCCCTCCGAGCTCGCAAGAGCCCCTTCTTGGAGTGAACAAACCGAAACTCTACCGCAGCCAAGGTTTTCTCTCCTACAGCCAGTGAGCTCCCCTCCAAGAACATGTCGTCGAAGAAGTCCGCCAGCATCCAATCGAGGTCCTCCGGGGGCCACTCCTTCACGTGCTCCTTGCAGAAGTCCTTGAATGAGATGAGGTACTTCGAGTACTGGTTTCGCTGGGCTTCGCTGACGCTCGCCATCTCGAGAAGGGTCATGTCGTGATCTGCCTCCTCCTCGGATTTCGCGGCCTTCTCCTTTCCAAGTTTGACCATTCTCTCCACAGCGGTCGTTGGAGTTGATGAGAGTCGCCCCTTCACGACCCTCGACGAAGTCTTCGCTCGTACCTTCTTGCCCCTGCCAGCTGGAATCGCAGCGATGGTCCCCGTGAGCACACGAGAGTCCCGCTTCACCTCCGCAATGGCCATCCTCGGACGCCCGATCCCCGGCCGCGAGCTTGAGACCAGCGGAGCCTTCGTGGTGATCACTCTGCGCTCCGTCTCCGACCGATTTCGCTTGAGACCTCCTCCATTCTGCAACGGCTTCCCAGTCAGAACTCGGACTGAGACTCCCACGTGAGGGACCATCCGCTGGATTCACCTCCGATGGCACCCAACGAGGCCTGACGAAGAAGTCTGCCGCAAGGGATATGGCGGCAGCTTGTTGGCAAATCCGTAGAATGTGAAAATCATGCGCTCTACCCTTGCTGATAGCCATTCCCAATGCTAGGTTGTCGACGAGGATGAGCACTTTCTTACCCCTCTGCTTACTGTCACGGGCCAGGCGCCTGAGAGCCAGAATGAAGCATCTCCCTTCTTTAAGACTGATATGCTCGGACGTATCCTTCCACATGCCAACCTTTGCGGTATGCCACCTTTCTGGCTGCATGAGTGCAAACGGGACCTCGACAAAATCATCATTTGCAACATACTCTTGATTGACACCATGTGGCGGCCCCGGCCTCTCCGCGGTGAACAGGTCGGAGGCGATGTCATAGTTGAAAGCCCGCTCTCGGGGCCTCCACTCACTGACCGGCAATCTCTTAAACCTCCAACGCTCATTCCATCGGCCAATCTCCTTGACTTGGTCAACCCCCAACTCGCACTCGACGATACCAAAACCCTCAGGTGAAGCATCCGTGCAAGTAACCCGGGTTGTCCATTCACGTCGAAGGTTACCTTCTAATAGGGGAGCGATGGAGATAAATAAACGGCACTCCCGAGCTGCACTATTCCAAAGCCGACAGCGTCCGAGGCCTTTGGTGCTGAAGTCGTAGAGCGACCGGAAGATGGACATTCCACACCTGTTCAGAACACATAAAACCATAGCGTGCCCCAGTAGACGTCGCACAAAATCAGAGCTCACTGGTCTCCGCAAGCAGTGCTCAAACCCGATTATGATCTTCCACAGGCGCGAGGGCGTAGATCTAACAACCCCAGCGCCTCCATCAACAATGCCTCCCAAGGTAGGCATAACGTCACTGGCCGGCACCTCTTCATGAACTTGAAAACCCCTTTCTCGAAGACACTCGCAGACCTTTAGACGATCTCGCTCAACCAATCTGCTATCTTTGCCGATCACGTGCACATTGTCGCAGTATGGCATGGCCAAGCAAGACCCCGGCCTGAAATCCCGCGCAGGATGTGCATCCAACACGAGGTCACGATGATCAAGGGAAAGTGCCTGCATGGTGATCTGTTCGTGGAGCTGCTGAACAATGTAAAATGACCAGGAAAACCCCATCGGCAGAACACTCAGACACGGAGAAACGATGCTATGCTCATCCAGGTCATTGACCCATTCTGGTAAGTCCTGGAACAAGGCCCTGGCTTCCTTCACCGTGAGGTCTTCCTTGAAACAGAAGAAAGATTCCATGCCAGCCGGGAGCCTGCAGCCATAAAAACAATCAGCAATGTCCGCACCCCCGATGTACATGGTCTCTCCCTGCCCAATCTCGATCTCACATAGCGCAGCAAGTGACCCCAACTCCGTCAACGGAGGTGGCCTAAATTGAAAGTTGACTTGCCTGCAATCGAGAATGAGCCTTTGGCGGAGGAAGCGCTGACCGTCTATCACCTTTGGCTTTTTGCTGACAGTGAAGGCTCCTACTCTACCACGGGCACGGTGGGAAAACGTCAGGATGCCGCAACCCTGCAAACGTAGCAGGAACTCACGATAAAAACCCCGATGTCTCATCTTCGGGTCATTGTATGGCTTCATACGAGCGGCCTCTTCAGCCACCGATGCCCATGCTGAAGCATCTTGCAAGAGGTACCCCTCGAAGTCCCGAATCATCTCTCCGACGTCACCAGTCATCTCACTCTCAAGATCAACCCCTGTCCCCTTCAAGGTGGGCAGGGACAACAAACTCAAATCCATTGGCACTGTATCGCCAACACCGGGTTCAGCCTCATAGCTGCCCCCGGGAACCTGAAGCGCCTGAAGGGCTTCTCGGTAGCATGCACCGGCAGGCGGCGGACCCAATGACCCCAATCTATGAATCAGGCTCCTGAGCACATCCCCCTGTCCTTGAGGCAGGTCGGAGATGCTAATGCATGTTTTTGCAGAATGAATCTCCTTCCCAAAGAAAAGTGAATTCAAGGCGACCACGGCCGAATTGAGTCGCCTCTGCAAGTTCCGTCTTCTATGAATTCGCTGCTTTACACTGCGGCTGAGACACTTCTTGGCAACCTCCGGCTCCTCCACCAACAAAGGCAGCGGAAAGAGATCCCTCTGACGTTCATCCCGAGGGCGGGGAGGCTGAAAAACCTTGCTCTGCCGCGACATGGGTGGATAAAGAACGGGACAAGGACCACCCAACCTTGCCCCTGACGATCTCACTTGCTCCCTGTCCCAGGGGTGTCCTTGTTGCCCCCGGGATTTTTCGTCTTTCCTTTGCCAATGCCCTTCTCTTCACGAAGTTTGCGCCGCTCCTTAAGGATCTGGCCTTCTTGATGGAGCTTATCTGCCACATGTTTTGTTAGCGCCGGGACCACTATGGCACCCCCAGGCCGATATCCTGTCTGGAGGAAGTGGTCTGCGGCCTCGTACGAGGGAGCTCCTGGAGAGTACGAGTGCGCCTCTGCAATCAGTTGCTTCCTTCGGACCGCCAACTCGAAACATGCCAAATTTGTAATGTTAAGACCATCAAATTTCACAGCAAGGTCAATCATTCGACTCAGACAGTCGTCCTCGTATATGGACCGATCCCCGCTGGGGATTCCGCTCTGTGACACCCACATGGTATGTTGGGCAAGACACGACTCAGCCACATTGGAGACGGCCTTCAGGTAGTCGCAACATGTTCTCGGAACGAATGGAAAATCATCAAAGTCTACGACCCTCATCTCCTGAACCGATTCCTTGAAAGCCCTGCTTCTCTCGCCATTGGCCCCATATTTGATGGAGAGGGTCCGGGCATCATCCCCGGCGGCTCTGTCGTCACCATACATGGCCTCAGCCTCGCGGCACCTGTGTATTCGAGCTTCGCAGAAAGACTCCAAGTCGGCATCCGCAACCCTCGAAACCAGGACATTGTGGACTGTTCCTGATAGATCCGGAACGCGATGAATTGCCCAATCCCCGTCCCTAGCAGCTCCTGAGCTCAACTCGACCTCTTCGCCGATTTTATGCCCTGGAACGTATTCGGCCAGCACCCAGCGCCGGCCATCAGCGATCTCTGGAGCTCCGACCATGGGTCCGGGATCGGCATCCCCCACACCCGCTGCAGCAGCCCCTCGACGAAGAATCTCGGCCTCGGCCTCAGCTCGGCCTTGTTGAGTGTAATTCGCCAGATCAGCTGCCGACATAGGGGCAAACGCATACACATTTCTTGCTGAGACTCCTCGAGGAATACCACCATGGGGTCCAGGTAGCATAAAACGTGTAAAATCGGGGTTGCTTTCATGAAGAATCTCTGTGAACACATCGTAGTCGGGGGTGAGCACTACATACTCGTGACTGCCATGATCCACGACAGCCAAAACCACCCTGGTGTGCACGCATATTGGTCGCTCGCCATAATCTACATAGACAACATCTCCAGTGTGGAACATCATCCTAGCCAAGAAGCTGGAGGCCTGTGGGAGATCCGTACACGCCCTTGGATTTGCCCTTTACTTGCAGCGCCAGCTCCTGCCGCCCTTCTCCACTCTTCACACTGACCTTGAAAATAAGAGCAGCTTGAGTTGAGATGACAATCAGAAGAGCCAATGCTATCCCTCCAGTAACAAGGGTACTCCAGGACGTTCCACTGGATTGTCCAACACTCGCACACGCACAATGGCAGTTGCAGGCAGGAGCCTCAGGGCTACCGGTCGTGAACTCGCGAAGCAACCAGCCCCCGACAAACGCCACTGCAGCAATTACACAGTGACCCGTGTCCATGGCAAAGCTACCTTGACACAAAGGAATCTCGAGAGGAAGTGCGACGGCCGATATACGGCTGAAGCTCGACTCACGTCAATCATCTACACAAGTAGTGCTCAGTAGGCTCCAGCTCTGGTATCTTCAACCCCAAATGGCAAGATCAGCAACCCCAAATGCAAGATCAGAGCTTTTCTTCTGCTGTAGCGCGGCCTCCGCCACCTTGCGGTCGTGTTCGGCCTTCTTCTCCATAGCGAGCTTTGCCGCAATAGCCTCGGCCTCCTTGCGGGCCTTGGCCTTGGCGGCCGTAGCGGCTGCATTCGCAGCGGAGGCCTGCTCCATAGCGGCCTTTGTAGCTGCAGCTTGTTCGCTAGCGGCGAACCTCTGGGTGAGGCTCGCTGACATAGAGTCGTCAAGGTTAGCGATGTCGTCCTGCGACAGGTCTGCCCAGCTGGTAGCTGACAGCACCCGTCGCTCCAACATGTTAGCGGGGCTCTGTTGGCGGAGCCCGGTGCCCAACCACTTGCGGGTGGGCTCCTGCCGGTCTAGCGTCTCAATCGCGTCTTGCGACATAGCGATAAGCTCCTGTAGCAGAGGCTTTTCCAAGTAGCGGGGCAGCCCCTCGGCACACTCCGAGGGCCGAAACCTTAGCGCCTTCCGCAGGCCGCGGAAGGTGTCCGGCAAGTAGTCTTCCGTAGCGGGCTCATCGGCCGTAGCGGGGCCATCAGGTGACCCTTTGCCCTTGGGCTGTGTAGCTGAGGCATCGTTGCCTTTTCCTCCCATAGCTGCGCCCAGGGCACGGATAGGGTGAAACTGCTAGGAAGCCACCGTTCGGTAGCGGAGCCGGGGCTCGCCGAGGGAGGAGGTTTAGCACAAGCACTGGCTCCTGCGCCTAGCTCCTGTGCTTCCTGTTGCCTAGCATGGGCTCGGCCCACAATGTTTCGTAGCGCCTTCCTCCGCTCATAGCTCCTTCCTGCAAGACGGACCTACCGCAAGCACTGGCTCCTCTCCTAGCTCCTGTGTTCCCTGGGTGGCCCGGAAAGGGGTCGCCCGGCCCCGGTTTCATAGCGCCTGCCTTCGCTCCTTGCTCCTCTTGCAGGACACTTGCGGAAAACCGAAGAACACAAAACAAGCACAGCAAGTGACATGTAGCAAGAACGTGGTTCTCTCCACTCTCTTCTTTCTCCACCTTCCCCCCCCTCTCACAACCTCCACCCCCCCCCCCTGCACACCAGTATGGCTTTAGCGGTGTTCCTCCCAGGAGGGAAGAGAGAGAGAAGAGGAGAGAGGGGAATGGTTCCGACCTAGCAGCCTTTGTGTCCCTTCGCGAGTCGGCGGGTTAGCACGCCCTGCGTTCAAGGATGACTGCTAGCGGACCCGGCCGAAGGTTCTCCGGGGGCCTCTTCATCATCCGAGTTAGCAAGCGAACCCTCGCTAGCGTCTCCTTCGGAGATAGCCCCTTGGTTCGGCCAGCATAGCTTGCACACATGCGTGTACTCATGCGGCTCGGGAACCGAATCTAGAACCCTAGCGTTGCGGACAGCATCCTGTAGCCTCGGAGCTGCTCCCTGCAACTAGCGGCTCCTCGAGCTCGACCGGGTCCTCTGCAACCTCTAGCTCCGCCGCTTCCGGCGGGATTCCTAGCAGGCCCTCCATCCAGATCTTGCGTAGCCGTGCCGCCATATCTATAGCCTGGCTGTGGGTCAGCTTAGCACGCTCCTCTAGCCAAGGCTCCAGATCTGCGGCAATTTCGCGCTCGTCTAACGCTTCGTAGCGGTCCTCCCCTCTAGCCGTTTAGCGAAAAGGGCTTGGAGACGGGACACCCTGCCCGCATAGGATCTAGCGTACACGTCGGAGCCCTCCGGCTTCCAACGCCCTAGCAGATCCTTATCCTGCGGAGGGATCTCCTTTAGCGCGAGCCGCGTGGGCAAAACTGAACGCTCACTGTGCTCCGTCCAGTAGCCTTGGACCTCCTTGGGGTACCCCATGATTAGCAGCAGCCCGGCCGTGGCCACCATAGCGTCTGCATAGGTAGCGATCTTGTTCTCTAGCTGCCCAGCCCGACCCAGTCGCGGCATCAGGTAGTCTCGGGCGTAGTAAGCGTGGGCCTTGAGGAGGTCGAATCCGGTGACCAGCCAGCCCTTAGCGACCACGAAAGCGTGTTCGGAGACCACCACAGGTAGCTCTTTCACCCTTCTTGTAGCCCCCGACGTCTTCGTCTTCCGGAGGGTCGTGGTGAGGCGACCCTCCAGTAACCGTAGCTCAGCAGGCAAGATGGCCTGCAGGTCGGCCCATCTTAGCGTGGCCCACACCTTGACCAACTTAGCCCGAGCCCAAACCCGCCAGCCAACAGCCAAGGTAGGGTTTAGCACTACCAGTTCTAGCTGCACCAGCATGTAGACGGGGTAGCGCGGGGCCCTCTTGATCAAGGGGGCCCCTTCAGCCAGCTTCTCAACGATGCTGTCCTTAGCGGCCCATACCAGGCGACCAAAGGTGGTGCGTAGCTCGACGGGAAAGTCTGCCACCTTCTCCATCCAGGAAATAGCCTTAAGAATAGCTTCGGGCACCGATCTTCCGCATGGTTCATCACTTCTAGCAAGAAGGTAATCTGCCAGATCCGCGGCTGTGCCCGGAGGCGGCTTGAGCTTAGCGGCGTGGAGCCACTGGCGCCACTGCCTGTAATAGCTCAGATAGCGCTTCAGGGTAGAGGCTCGGGTCTTCCCAGGGAGCAACATAGCTGCCCGCACCGGATCCAGACTCCCATGCAAGTTAGCGAGCACCGGCGCGTGTATCTCTAGCAGAGCTAGCTGCTTGGCGACGTCTTCGGCATCATCCAGATCCACCATAGCGAGCTCAAGGGTCCCAAACCCCTGGCTGACGAGGTGCCGGTGTCTAGCGTGCACCTACGTTCCTGCTGGACCGTAGCCTGTGCTTCTAGCTCGGCCTCCACTTCCCATCCCTCGAAGAGCACATCGGCTCCTTCGGGAGGGGGTTCACTAGCTGGGGTCTGCGGGACCCACGGGTTCCTCCCCGGAGGGAGCCCCTGCGGTGTCGTCCCCCCCAGCACTGTGGGAACCTCAGTCGGGCACGAAGAACTTAGCGGAGGCGGGGAATCCCCAACCACAGTAGCGCATTCGACGGCCGTAGCTGCGCCCTCTGGCGTGGTCGGCGCCAGGGTAGCGTCGCTGTCCGACATGGCAGCGCACCCAAAGCAGGGCTAATTAGCCCTGTTCCCCTTCCTACCCCGCACTCGAAATTTGCCCCCCAATAGCAGGGGGCCTTTCAGCACAATGGCCACGGAGTAGCAACGTTTCACCGGCCATGTGCAGTCACTCTAGCAAACAGACTGGCTTCGTTCTGTTTAGCTTCAGAGGAAAACCCCTTCGACGTTTTCTAGCGAAACACCTTCGATGTTTCACATGTGATACTAGCGCTAGCATACACGGTCGTACCTCGTCCCTCGGCACGAGTGCAAGTCATGGTCAATTTGGGCTGCAAGTACCACGTGTGCAAGAAGAACAAGGCGGACTTGAAAAGGTTCGGTCAGGAGTGGTCCGATCGCTTCACCATGATTCTGGGTCATCTTCGTCGTCTGCAACAGCCCATTCGCTGGAGCCAAGCGATTCAGAGCATGAGCGATCCTGACATCACGGTTTTGCAGGGCTTGGTGATTTTTGCTCGAGGATGAGCTCGACCAGCCGGCAAAGAAGCAGGCAAAACCGAAGTCAATCTTGAAGAAGCCGGAGGTGCAGAAGCCGGAGGTTCAGAAGCCGGAGGTGCAGAAGCCGAACTTTGCTTTGGTTCACGAGATGGAGCAGGATTGCTTGGATGACATCTTGCCACAGCAAGAAGAGGAGGTCCCTTTGACACAGGACTTGGTCAGCGAGCTGAGTCCCTGCGAGTCGCTGCCCAAGGTTCCCACCAGCAAGGATCGAATCAAGGCAGTCTGGGAGTCTGGCGAGGATTCCGAGAAGCCTCTGAAGAAGCCGGCAGCCAAGCAGATGAAGCGACCTGCAGCCGCCAGTACATCCGCACCAGGCCCTGAGAGCTCGTCCAGTGCCACAAAGCTTCTCCCAAAGGGAGTTCAGTACAAGGCCACTTATGCAACCGAGAAGTCGTACTTGCAGTATAAGTGTCCTGCGACCGGAAAGTTTAAGCTTCTGGTCAACTGCACTAAGGGGACAAGCCGGGATCACAAGGCTGTGATTCGAGCCATTCTGGAAGACAAGCCCCGCAGTAGAGAGAGGGCCCTCCAGATGCGAAATTTTCTTATCGACTAGACGAAATCGACGCAAGAACTGCGAATCAAAATCCGTCAGTGCAGTATTCGCAGTGTTCTCCCCCGGAACTCCTACTTACAAAACAAACGGCGTAGGGTCTTGATACATACATTGTTGTATATATGTATGTATCAATACATACAGGGTTTTTTAAACATACAGGGTTTTAGGGCTTAGGGTTTCCGTTTGTTGCCACCCTAAATCCTAAACCCTGAACCCCAAACCCTAATTCTGCCTGCCAACACAGGACTTGCAAATCAGCAAGATCGTCTTCGCGGGGGAGGCCAGCTTCCCGTTGGCCAAGCACTTCACTTCTTTGCAATGAAGGCCTGCTCGCTGCAAAGGGCGAAGTTGTCGGACCGAAAGGTCCTGACCGAAAGGTCATAGTGCCGAGAGATGCTATTGGAAGC